CAGGGGGAAGTCTGGTCGGACGTACTCGTGCCTTGCGAGAAGACAACGACAATGTCTAGTTCGGCGGCAGCAATCATATCCGCAAAATCGAGGCCATGGAATAAGTCACGTGACCAAACCCCTACTTCAGTGTGACATAACCAAGGGGTCTCGCAGTTTAATGAGCTTCACCTGTACGTATCTTTTAATGATTAGAGGTAACAACTCTAGGAGTATCATGGTGACGTGTACTCATAACCTGACCATTTCGAGCTGGAAAGTTTCACCTCCAAAGCTACTCGCGAGGAAATATCTCAAAATCGACTCCCAGACTTTTAGCTGCACATCAAATGCTCAAGAATAAATGGCGTATGTATAACTAGCACTAGGAGAGCCAACTCAAGCAGTGAATATAAGGATGCAACAAGGTAAATTAAACAGGGAGAATCCAAACTCAAAAGGTTTTCGGCCTGAAAAGCTTCCAAGGTCTTAAAACAATCATCAGCCTTGCCAACATTGATGCCATTGCGAGACCCAACATGCCCAAAAGGCTTGAAAACCAGGTCACACAAGAACTAGCAGAACAAAACCCTAGTACGCATCTCAAACGTCAATCCCCTCCCATTTGTCCCTGAAACCCAATCCTTAACCCGCTCAAGCACAACCAAGCACCTCTCACCAAACACAAAAAGCACACAACATAAAACAACACCCCAGAAACTTGTAAACAAAAGTTTCCGTTTCTCCACGGGCGCTTTCTCGGAGAAATACTGCCGATGTGCAACAGAGATACACGAACGCATTGTCATTCATGACTAACGTCTCATAATATTTCCGTCTAGCAGTCATCAATTACGCATTCATTTACCTTCATGCGCTCCCTTCCCTTGCCTATTCTCTACCGATGCCAGACATGTCGCGGAAGTTTATGGGATAGGCTCGCAACCTCACTACCACCCATTCCCCACCCCATCCCATCCACTATCAGCCTGACTCTCCCCCTCCCCCATCCCCTCCTCCATCCACTCCATCTTCTCCAACTCCCTAACAAAAAAATCATGTTCATCCTCCAATAACTTCGTATCCGCGCCCATCTGGTCCGGATACCGTTTAATATTATGCCAATGCGTCAGCGCTCTCAGCGCCTGCTCAAGCGGCAGCGCTTCCTCGACCTCCGCATCGACGTCGCTGCCCGCAAGCCAGTCGTCGCGCAATTCGGGCCGGCAGTGCAGATACACGGCAGTGATGACACGCATGTTTCCTTGCCGCCATTTGCGACCGCAGTATGGGACTTGGTTTTTGAAGAGTTTGAGGGTGTACAGGCGGAGCTCATGTTGTGGTACTTTGAGGGATTTCTTGAGGATGTTGGAGGACTTGTATTGCACAAGGAGTAGGTTGCGGTGAGCTTTATTCTTGCAGATTTTCTGCATGATGCGGAGGAAATTGATGCATGAGAAGAAGTTCCGCCATGAGAATTCGGTGATGGGTTCGGACGGCAGCTCGGTGGTGGGGTAGCCCAGCTCGTCGACCTCGGGGCGGTCACGTTTGGCTGCGTGCTGACCTTCCTGGAAAGCTAGTGCGGGCAGTTTGTCTTCAGCGTCGGCGACGGATAGTTCTCGGCGCATTTTGATGGGCGGAGGTGCAGCTTCGTCTTCACTCTCGTCTTCTGGTTCCAAGTCGGCCAGATCGGGCTTGGTGAGTGTGTTCTTGCTGTTCACATTGCAGAACGAGAAGAAGCTAACCGGTGTGAGTATTGGGTGGGCACAGGGAAAGGCAAGACTAACCTCATGTCATCGCGATCTGTTCTGCTGTCAATAACTTTGTCAATCTCCTGATGAGCAAAGAGCTTCAACACAAGCGGAAGATAGTTCGAATCCAGCAACAGTTGTGTCAAATACTCAAACTTCAATATGTCTTTCTGCTGTTAGCTACTTCTGATGAAGATGAATCGGTACACTCACGTGAGACTTTGAACCACTTTAAGAGAATAAGAATGATACCGGACACCGCTTTCGCAGTGATCTCTCGCGACCTCATTGCTTCAATCTCATCGATAGGGAGGTCAACCGGATCGACAGAATTTGTCGGCAGAGGAACAAGGGCTGGATCTTGTGCCCGACTCTGGGCTGGCACACTGTTTCGTAGATTTAGCTCTGACCTGAAAGCAGGGGCAAGCCCTTGAGATTGTCCCATCGGTAGTGTTATCAGAGCTGTTACATTGGCCAAAACCGCTTTCAGTAGCACAATGACCAACGACTGCAAATGGGGCATTGAATCTTGCTGCAAACTATCAGCATCAGAGTTTCGTGTTATGACGACAACTTACATAGAATTGCTCAACAAAATCAAGTTTCTGCTTGATTTTGTCGCTAACATCCGGATTTGGTCCATAATCAACTTCTGCTTTTGCATGTTTCGTTTCGTGTAATGAGAGCTTCTTTGACAGAATAGTGTCTAAATCAAGCTCATCAATATCATCATCCTCGCCATCCCAACCTCGTTCGAATTTCAGAAATTTTTCTCGTTCATCCCATAGTTGACGCATGGCTCTCGTCATTCGCATTCGTTTTGCAAACAGATCTCCGGCTTCGAGTATTGATCTTGGAATGTCGCTTCCCTCCCATTTGCGGCCGACGAGAAGCTCCTGCAAACCTGCTGCCCCTTTACCACCAGCGCTATTGCTTGTGCTATCCAATGGAGGGTACATGAATGGAAAGTTCTGGTTTGTTTGGTAATTCTGTTTCTTGCCAGCCTTGCCACCCACAGGTGGAGATGGTGGTGGAGATGGCGCAGGTGTCGCAATATGCACTGGCTGGTGGAGAATCGATGCCCCGCTACTGTTGACATTCATTGGAGGTGGTAGTATGCCATTGGCACCTGATCTACTTGGCCGATTAGGTAAGGGCGGGAGAATCGAATTATTGTCGGGCTCGAGAGGTATAAGAGGCGGGGGAGGGATGTAAGCGGGGTATTTTGAGGTAATTTCCTGGCGGAAAATGTGGTAGTCAAGGGGTGAAGCAGTTATTAACTTGACACCATCGCTGTCTAGATGTCTCAACTCGCTGGTCGCTGTCTTCACTTCGTCGACCTCAGATCTTCCTCCAAAGGCGAGCAAGAGCGACTTCCAAAAGAGGAGGAAGATCTTCCGGGGTCAGTAAATATTCATGGTAGGATTTTGAGACTGACTCTTGTCTGTGGAAGCTCATTTGCTTCATCCCATCTAAGCCTTGCCGTGATTGTTACAAAATAGTCTACGAGGCTAGGAACAAGTTTCACTGAGAAGGTCAGTTCTGAATAGAAGAACCAGGTCAGAGCAACTAACGAATGTTCGTTCGTGCGGACTCCAGAGTAACAGGATCGTTACGAATGCCCTCAATAGTTAGATAAATGATAGTGGTGACGTTGTCCAATTCGTCCTGAATGAAAGGAATGTCTTCCTCCAGCAATTGCGTCTCCCGAAATTCATCATCCCTTGAAATGTGAGCATAATTCGCCAGTAAGTGGCCCCAACTTACCATAGCCTTTTAAAAGCATTTTCCATGACATTAAAAAGCACATCTATACCATCTGCCCTGCTAAAAAGTGCAATTCCAAGCTTCATGTGTTCCAGCTGGAACGGCGTGGCCTTCGTCTTAGGTTTCGGCGCTTCCGCCTCATTCTCCTTATCTTTCGACTTCGACGCTTCAGTCTCTACTGCCGTAGGCTTTGTTCCAGCTGTCTCGTCCCACACACCCAAAATGATATGCAGAATAGTCTGCAGGCTCTTGCACCGCCGTCGCAGATCCGTAGCATGGAGACCCTTAACCTCCCTCTCCACAAACTTCTCCCTCTGCTCCTGTTCAACATCCAGCCATGCCGCCCCCGCAAATTTCTTCCACCGCCTCTCAAATGTATCTTTCGCTCGATTCAGGCGCCGGTATTCCGCTTCGTTGTACGAGAACCACTCGTCCACCTCTTCTTCAAAAGACGCCGTGTCCGCATATGTGAAGGCGTATGACGTGGGATCAATTTTCGGGAAGTCGGTGACGATCTTCTTCAGCTGCATTAACGACAGGGAGTCATTGGGGTTCCCGAGTTGCTGGGGAGCTGGAGGGGGAGGAGGCTGATGGGGCGGGGGCGGTTGAGGCTGGTTTCGCTGGAGTTGAGGACGCCCCATGGGCACACTGGTAGGCGGCTGAGGTGGTGGGAGACCAACATCTGCGAGGCCAGTATCTGCCACATCGGAATTGTCTCTCGCTGGGATGGAGGGCTCAACTGGAGTTTTAGCCGTCCAAAGTGAAGCCATGGTCGCGGTCGGGAGGTTGAGCGCGGTTGAGGGCGGTTAGTTGGATTGTAACACCATGATGGGCTGGGCGGTCAGAACTGTGCGTCCGAGTGAGCCATGAGAAGCTTTCGTGGCGAGGTGTATTTACTTGTTGGAGATGTGATGAAGTTGGTGCTTCGCGTCAACGCGATCAGCCTCAAGAGCTCGCTAATGATAGGGAGCGGATAAGGATTGCTCGCCACCCCTGAAATCAGGTCCTTTCTGAAGCATTCCTCCCTTTAGGAATACTCTCAAGAGAAAAACATTAAAAATATCAAGGTCCCTGATCTATCCGTACGAGACCTTACTAGGATTCTTGTTAAACTCCTATCCACAGGAACAATTTTACGTGCCAATGATACATACGGTCTCATAATGGACAGCAAAAGCGGGGCTCATTTCCAATGTTCCCGGCCAGGTTGAATATTTCAAAATTCTAAATCCTCGTCCGACGTATGGTAAATCCGAAATTTAACACCTCTACATGTCTTGGAAGATCTAATACATGAAAGTCTTCTCCATCCAGATTTGGAGCTAAATGGCCAGGTTTGGCTAAGGACATAGAAAGAGTTTGAGGATCATGCTCAAAGGTTTCGCCTAACACACTGCACGGATTTTTTTTTAAACAAAAAGAAAGACAAACCCCTCACAGAACCACAAGAAGAGAAACAATCGCAAATAAAAATGGCAAAAATAGAAAGGAAGGCGGCATTAATATTTCCATACCAGGGAGTCGAACCCTGCGCTACCGCGAAATCTATCAATGTGATGAGAGGCGGAAATGTTACCGATACACCAGTACTGTTTGTGTTAGTATGGTTACTGTCATGGTACAAAGAATCTACTTACTGGATGAAAGTTAAGCCGAAAAATCCTTATTTGAATACATATAAATGTTAGAGAAGCAAGCGGGTATCATCGGGAATCGCTTCACGGGAGTGTCCTATCAACTCGTCACAGCATGGGTCCTAAGTGGACCTCCCAACAATCCTCGCCGAGTATCGCCGTAAACAAAAAGACCAGCACTAGTTTTCATATGAATGCCCTCAGTGAAAGTGGGGCATTACATAGCCCAATTCTCGTTATTCCACATCAGAATCATAGCTTCTCATTTCACATTTATTGTACCGAAAGATCAAGAACATTAAAGGTACGCCTCTCATCTGATTTCATTGACTGCACTGCTCCTAGCACGAACATTCAAAGTTCAGTGCTATCCCCATTGTCCCTCCCCTTTATGTGCATTCAAATTTGTCCCATCCCTCCATAAACTAGCTCGTCGTTCTACCATCCGAGTTCGGAATATCGAGGGCGAGGCGGGAGGAAATAAACTGGTTCTGGGCGTTCAGGTAGGAGAGGTCGGTCAGATGCGTCCGAGGGACGAGCAGGTTGTACCACGCCTTGTTGTGTGTCACGTGCTACGCATTGGCCACACATAGGCCTATATATAGCTATTTCCCCGCCCTTAGGGCACCATCATTCCTTTATATATACACCAATATACACCATATTATCCACACAGCCCCTTCAGGCCTTGACATTGTGCAATTCCACCCATGTCAGCCAACTCAATATCACCGCTACGTTCCGTTCGAAGCCTGTCACCCATGGCATATGTCGGTGAGAATAGACGTTGAATATTCTAGAACCTCCGGGAGATTTGAAAACATAGACTTTGAATGTACAAAACGTTGAGGCTCATTTGGGGGCCGGGCGGGCAGTCTTCGTCTCAAACTACCGCATAGCGGAGTCCTTGAAGCTTGGTACTTATCTTCGAGCAAAGAAATAGCAGTTTTATGCCTAAAACGACATATTGTAAGACTAATCCAAGCTAAGAGGGGTCTTGAGTGTTGAAACTCGAATATTGTACCAGATTCATGATTGACATTAATTGAGTATAAGTCTGCGTGCTTGCTTTGAGTGAATTGACAAGGATTGTAGACGAGACAGATTCTGGGCAGAGATGTGCTACACTCTGCCGGGATTTGATTAGAAGGCGCTGGCCATTGGAAATTCTCGTGACAGAGGAGGAGCAGGGGTGCGTTTATCGCTGTTCTAAAATGGGTCAGCTAAAGACACGCCCTTACTATCTACACCCCTAAATCATTCAGAACCCGCTTCTTCACTTCTCCAACGTCAACACATCAACGATTCAGCGCCAGACAACGATGACCTCCCGCTTCCTTATGGGGCAATTGCTCTCGAGGCTATTCAGGAAGCCTGTCCGACATCTTGGGGAACCTTCATTAAGGCTGCCCTACCGACATGTCTCGACCCAGCCCCAGAGCTTCCTGAGCCCGAAGGCTGATTTCACCAGCGAGGAAAAGGCATCATTGAACCAAATGCCCGGCGAAGATCAGCACTCTATCGTGGAACGGTTGCGGGACCACAAAGAAGCAACTGAAGAGCTCATTAAGAAGACGCGATCTCAACGCCTGGATCTTGAACCGTCAAAACCTTGGCGTGTAGTATTAAAAGTAGGAGCGATTTTATTTTTAATTGGTATAGGAACTTCGCTTGTGTTACCCCCACCCCCTAAGGACGACGGGAAACCATTCGATCCGCCGCGCTTCCGTCCCTTCACGGTCGTGAAGAGGGAAGTCGTTTCCCCAACGAGCGTTATCCTCACGGTACGACGATTTGCCAATGGTACAGAAGATCTGTATAAAGATATGTGGGATAAAGGAATTTGGTCTGTTGAAGTGAAACAGCCCGAACTTCAAATATCGAGATCGTATACGCCGCTTCCTCCAATCAAGCCGGTTGATTATAGCGAATTGAGGTTCTTGATTCGTAAGGAGCATAAAGGGGAAGTCTCGGGGTATCTGCACAGTATGGGGCTCAATTCGCAAATGGAGTTACGAGGTCCGCACCCAGGATTTGATATACCAGAGAACGTTGCAGAGGTTGTGTTTTTAGCTGGGGGAACGGGAATCGCGCCTGCATTGCAAGCTGCCTACACTACGCTCGAAAGAAGGAATGCGGAAGCAAGGGTCAGAATTGTGTGGTCAAACCGCTGGAGGGATGACTGTGAAGGTGGAGGACAACTGGACAACATGGATCGGAAACGGGCTGGACTTATTGTTCAAGAATTAGATGTTCTCCAGAAAAAGCATCCTGGTCAACTCACCGTTGAATACTTCGTGGACGAGGAGAACACGTTTTTGAATCAGAAGAAGATATCACAACTCACAAACACGTCGAGGAGGAGCAATTTTGAAGGGACAAAACTTCTATTCATCTCTGGACCAGAAGGATTCGTCAATCACTTCGCAGGCCCAAAGAGATGGGAAGATGGGAGAGAGGGCCAGGGCAAAGTTGCAGGAATACTTGGAAAGATGGCACTTCGTGATTGGATAATTTGGAAGCTCTGAATTACATCCCAGCACAAAATTAACACTGCTCGCCTTGCGTGACAGAGGATAATAGCAACAGCCACAAGCCACAAAGACTATCACCAAGGAATAGGACCCTCTTTATTAGAGTACGTACCCGTCTCGCCATCTTTCCTCAATGTTGCCAACCTAACAGCATTAATAGCACCGCTCTCCACTGTCCCAACGCCGTGAAAGTTGTTCAAATCCGTCGCTACATACCCGGGACAGCACGCATTTATTTTCCACCCCTTCTCCCTGTACAGATGCGCAAAACTCATCACCAGCATATTAAGTGCCGATTTGGTACTCCGATACACGGGATAACTGCCCATATCCGACTGCTCCCCGAAAGAGCCCAAAATACTGGAGATAAACACCACTCTTGGATTCTCACTCTTCTCCAACAAAGGAGCGAACGTCTCGAATGTCTGTATAGCGCCAAAAACATTGACGTTATAGGACTCAAACATCATATCTCGCAGAGAATCCTCGCCTGGTTCATGCTTATGATCAATAGCGATCCCCGCGTTGTTGATCAGGACATCCAAGCGACCGAATTTCGAAGATACGATCGAAGCCGCCGCGCTGATCGATGCGTCATTTGTGACATCGATGGGTATGGCTTCCACGGAGAGATTCTCTGCTTGGAGTTTTGCGGCAGAGGCAGTGCCCCGTTCGGGATCACGGCTACCCAGAAGAATGTGGTAGGAGGCTTGCTCTTTTGCGAGTTTCTTGGCAATCTCGAAGCCAATTCCTTTGTTGGCTCCTGTGATGAGGACGATTGTGGACTTTAGAGCGGCCATGGTTGCAGCTACTGAATCAGCAAAGTTCTCAGAATCTTCTGCTGGTGAGGAGAATTGTTTCGGCTTTCTGAACAAGTCTGGCCCTTATTTTCTAGTTCGAAAGAACGAGCTTTGTAGCATCATCGAATCGACGAAATAGGTATGATCTGATGTCCTAACTCCACATCAATCAGCCAATCGGATTCTTTCCTTCTCATTCATGGTTGAGATTGTGGGTCGGTATTAGTTCAGCTATGCGACGGTTTAGCTTCTTTGTCATCAGAGTTTATCAGTATAGCCGGCAGGGTACACAAACATTTGCAGTTGACACAACACGAAGTACGCCACACGAAATGCAACTTCTTGAATCGGCATCGGATTATTTCCCACTTCGTTTTGTTAAGTACCGAGTCAAGTGGCTACCATCTTTCTGGGGTTTATTGCTACGGTCTTCGTTTGAATGATAGAAGCAAAAGCGAGAAAGGGGGTTTTATCTGGATCGCTTTTGTTCACGGCGAGCTTTTAAAATTTCGCTCTCGTTCCACATTTCAAGAGCTCTTTCCTTCCACATTCTGGACGACTCGTCAGCTTCCGCTCTGGAAATGAAACATTCAGAGGCAAGGCACGAAAGAAGAGGTCGCATAATGCTGCGGCTACAAAGGGTGGCTCAAAGATGTGTTTCAAAATATCTCCTTCAATCTCATCCCATGAAGTCTCACAGTCTTGTCAGAAGAGAAGGCAAAGATCAAGTGGCCATCAAACGAGAATTCATTCATTTCATTTCATTCAATCCTTCTCCCCTACTCAAACTTTCCATCCGCTCTCCTCCTCCGTCCCGCACCCCCACGTCTCTTCCACGCCGCCTTCCGTGCCGCCCGACTCTTCCCTCCCGTCCTCTCCCTCTTCAGCTTCTTCGCTCGTTCCTATCCAATCATCAGCACTATCAAAATGTCAAATGGGATGAGAACGTACCTTCGCTCTCCTAACTCCATCATCCTCCCTCGTCAAGAACACCACCTGTCCTTTCATCCTCCTCTCCATATGACTTGAATTATCTTCGACCGGTGTGGCCTTCTCCCCAATATCCAGCACGTCGTTCTCCAGGTCGCGGACCACAGCCGCGGACACCCAGGGACTGTATTTGGGTGGTCGGGGCGTTGGGCGGGGGCGGATGCGGGTTGGTGGTGAGAAGGGAGGTCTGAGAGGAGAGGTTGGGTGGGCGCGGGTTGAGGGCATGGTGGTGGTTGTTGTTGTTTGTTGTTGGTGTTTGTGAGAGAGTATGTGTTTGGATGAGAGAGTTGTGATGAGACGTAAGAACTTGATGACTGCTGAGGAGAAAAGAGGAAAAGATCGGAAGGATGGAAAGGAAAGAGATTTATATACTTGGTGAGGAGTTGCATTGCACAATGGGATGGGAAGACAATAGATTCGGATGGTATTGATGGTCTGGAGGAACAGTTGATAGTTTAGTTTGGGATCAAACAGATCAAACACAAATTGAAATCAGTGGATTCGCTTGGTGTTTTCAACCGAGACGATGATTGTAGTGTTGTGCTATTGTCTGAAGGTATTGTTGTGGCAAGGAGGACGGATAATAGGGGAAGTGAATGCTAAGCGAGGTCGCCCCCTGAATTCACTTGTGGCCG